TATTTACAGAAATTCCGCTCGCTTGCCGGCATCCCATCCACGGTTTCCACTAGAATAGCAATGGTGCCAACCCATCTACCAACCCACCGGAGTCCGATCACGTAGAATTTGACTTGGTACCATTGCCATTCTCGAATTAATCTGGGTTGGTACCATTGCTATTCATTTGGAAACTGCGTATGTTGGGACTTGGGTTGGTACCAACTAACTGTAAAATTAATCTGCTCGTATTGTATCGAAAAACACGCTAAAAATACGAGTGGTGGGTACGAAGACTGTTTACACCCGATGTGCAAATGCATTCTAACGCACACATTGATCTCAATGCAACGAGAACAGTGACCACAACGCTTGGTCCTCCAAATAGCTTTATTCCGATGTATGTTTTGGGCATAACTGGATGAATGAACTCGAAACAGAGATAGTACTAGTACATACTACTAGTAATATATTAAATACAGCACCTACTTTCCAGGAGACTTGGACAGACAGACGCGGCATCGATTTTAGTACAGGATGCGGTTCAGGCGAGCAATTACAACGCGACAAACTCAAATGTCGCCAGAAGCTGTGGCTGGCAAACTTCATGTGGAGCGCCACTGTAGAAGAAGACTCCAGGAGCGCAAGAACGCGTTTTGATTCAATCGACGCCGTCATGTTCCAACGTGCTAGGGGGGTATCGCGCGCATGCAAACAGGGACTCGAATCCGACAAAATCGACGACGCCACCTTCACGAAGTATCGCTTGAGTTTGAGGTGCGGTTCACCCACGAGTATGACGACATGCCGGCATGACCCCCCTTTACGTTCCGTTGGCCAAGCACGGCGCCTGTCACACTTTATTTCCCGCGCGTGCATTCCTCGCATAGTTTGACTCCGTGTTGCATGGCGGATCGACATCGTGTGGAATTTTCACGTGTGAATTGCACGCCGTTGGTTTGCGCATCGTCCCTGGCACGGACCGCCGGACATCAACATGGGCTAGAGGTTGCCCCACCAAGAGCAAACTCCAACCACATTTTTTTGGCATTCCTGGTATATTTTGAATAGTAGGTGACTTTCACTTTGTCGAAACGAATCGAATACTCCATGTAGAGGATGAAGTAGTTGGTATCGCTTTTTTCCTCGACTTGACTTTGGAGAGAACGTTGCTTGTCGCTGGTTCACGCTGGGTTGTGACCATCTCGCGCGTCCTTGGAGGTGTGGGGGGATCTCCTGCCTCGAGGCCATTCTAGCGTCCTTTCACGCTGAACATGTCGACGAACGCTCGCAATCGACACGCTTTGGCACCCACACATGTCGTGGCAATGCAGAGGCGGCATCACCCTGTCCGTTCGGCCATGTCGCAACCAGCTGCACAAAACCAAATGCAAAGTATTCTGCCCAACCTGCTGGTCGTCACGTATGTCGCGACCCTTACACACGGTGGAGACGGCGGCGTCTGTGTGCTGGCGAGGTTTCCATGACCTCGTGGATGTCTGGTCAGCGTCAAGGTGGGCGAGGCAGAGCGAGAGAGAGAGAGAGCGCGTCTCTAGCTACTGTCGTGGCGATCCGCGCGTCCGTGGAGCTATGGCCCACGTCTCGAGCTAGCCGTCACGGTCCAACGGGCATGCACGGCGTGCGGCGCCGCCGCTGCTCAAGGTATGCGTCGTCCGATCCGAGACCACAGCTGGAATTGGCGAAATTGCTGCAATGTGTTTGGTTGGGCAGTGTCTTTCGCGTTTCCAGTGGGTACATACCAACGTTAAACCCAAACTACCCGAAATTTTGGAAGTAATATCCATTTTTGCCAGGTATACACCGTTTCACGTGGTTCACATGTATGCTTTTACCGACTTTGCCCAGCCGCGTCCCTCCAAGCCGCCACTTTACATTGGTGCATTTTACCCAATCAAACGAGGGGTAAAGTGCGCTATCCAGCAATATGCGGGTTCCACCGTCGTTGGCACCGCGAATTACATGCATGGGACAGATGGGTCGCCCCCGCTGCGGCGGTGGGAGAGCGCATTCAGCAATTTTCCATGGTTGCCGGTCCCGTGGTCGAAACCCCGACAGAGTCGGAGCTCGACGCCCGCGTGCCATCGGACACCTCTTTCCCGATGAAAGCTCGTACCTGGGTGATGACCCACAAGCGCACAGCTGCGCTCGTTGCAGCCCTCGCCGTTGTTGGCACGATCCTCGGCGCGATCACGGTGGAGCACACCCTGTTCACCAGCAAAGCGTCCCAGTCTGCCACCGCAATCTCGGGGGTGTGCTATGACTCGTACAACGCCGCCGACATGGAAAAGCACTTTGGCATGATCAAGCAAAAGTTCAACGCCGTGCGTACGTACCAGACCAAGCTCGGCAACAAGAACATGGCGGCCGCCGCGGGCCAAGTTGGCCTCAAAATTGCTGCTGGCGCGTGGCTCCGCAACGGAAACGACTGGAAGGCCGACGTCCAGGCGGCCATTGATGCCCACAAGCAGCACGGCAATGTCTTGGCCATCTACGTCGGCAACGAAGACCTCATGCATGGGATTGGCGCCGGGGAGATCATCTACGACATCGCAACGGCCAAGGGTATGGTGCGAGCAGCTGGAGTGAACATCCAAGTCGGCACGGTCCAGACGGATGGCATCTTTCTTGCCAACCCTGACCTTGCGAACGCTTGCGACACGATCGGAGTCAATATCTACCCGTTCTTCGGTGCATCAGACGACTCATGGCGAACACCGGTCAAGGACCTGACCGTGCGCTGGAATGCCATTGCCGCCAAGTACGGCCACTTGAACCCGCGTTTGACGGAAACCGGGTGGCCGTCCGGCGGCGGCAACAACGGCCCGCACGTGAGCAACTGGGATAACGCCAAGTCGTACTTTGAATCGTACTCGGACTGGGCTCGCGGCAGCGGCGGGGACGCTTCCTTCTACTTTATGTTCCACGACAACCCAAGCAAGGGCGGGTTTGAAGCGAACTTTGGGATTTCGGACCCCAACGGTGTGTTTAAGTTCAACGTGGCTCCGGCCCCGGCCCCCCCGGCTCCCACGCCTCCTCCCACCGCGCCGCCGACCCCGCCCCCCACTGCGCCCCCTACCACGACCCCCCCGCCGACGGAACCCCCCACCACGACCCCTCCCCCCACTACTCCAGTTCCCACTCCTGAGCCCACAACGTCGGCCCCGGCGAACAACGGCACAACCACGCCCGAACCGACTAACTCGACGTCTCCGGAATCCACGGCTTGGAACAGCACTGACGTCGCGAATGGCACTCTGGTCGATAGTTCGACGACTATTCTCATGGACTCGAATACCTCGTCCTTGGATCTGCCTCAAGCGCCCAACGGCGGTGCGAATGGAGCACCGGTTCCAGCGGGCGGCAGCAGCGATTCGGCCAGCGTGAACGGCGTTGTGCTCAACTCGGGGGAAGAGGACAGCGCCCCGACCATGTCCATCCTGCTTGCGAGTGTCGCTGCGGTCGGTGCCGCCGCCGTGATTGCGCTGATTGTGTACAACCGCCGCATGGCAGCCATGAATGACTCGAAGGACGACCTGGAGCGGTACGACTCGTCGTCCCGCGACTTTGGCTCGATCTTGCAGACCGGGCAAAGCCAGATTGCGATTTTGTAGTCTGTTGCCGCGCGTAGTTGTTCCAGTATTGTAAATATTGTGTGTCGTTTTTATTCCTCTCTTTTTTGGAGTATTTTTTACTACAATTTATTCGCAAAATGCACCGTAAAAAGCCAAAAGTTCCAATCTTCGTGTACAGAAAGCAAGGTGGCGTTGGTTTACTCTGCCCATTCTGCGTAAACACGGCCTACAACTTGAAAGACTTGCAATGCCGTGCAGCATGCAGTCCAGAGCCTTGGTCGCGGTGCCGCGTCGACATGCCAACCAAAACCAAAGGCAATATGTACGACGTACGGAATACACAATTTTTGACATGGAAGGGCAAATAGAGGAAGATTGGTTTTCCGGAAAAACGTTCTTACCATACAAAGCGAAAGTATAAACCTGCGGTGGTGGGGCTCATGACTATCCGGATGATGACCGGGGTTTTGGCATATGTGGCACTCACCCATCTTCCGTCGGATTGCCTTGCGCGACTCGGCAGAACCATGTCCGTGTCCCAGTTCTACATCCTGAGCAACCGTGGGGACGCCATCATCTCGTCCGACTTCCGCGGCGACGTGCCAAGCGACAGCGCCGAGACGTTCTTCCGTAAGGTCAAGTTTTGGGACAAAGGGGATGCGCCTCCGACGTTCAACATCGACGGCGTCAGCTATTTGTACGTCAAGAAGAACGGGCTGTATTTTGTAGCGACGACGCGGTACAACTTGTCGCCGGCGTATATCCTCGAGCTGTTGTCTCGTCTATGCCGCGTGTTCAAGGACTATTGCGGCGTGCTGTCGGAGGAAACGCTGCGAAAGAATTTCGTCTTGTGCTACGAGCTGCTTGACGAAACGATGGACTTTGGGTATGCCCAAGACACGTCGACGGAAGGTTTGAAGGCACACGTGCACAACGAACCGATCTTGGTCGGCGAAGCGCTGCAGGCAAAGGAACGCAACTTTTCATCCGTGATGAGCCGCCAGACCAACATCAAGGCGGCCAACGCTGTGCGGAAACCTGTTGCGAACGGCCAGCAAACGTCCAAGAAGGCCGAAAACGAGCTCTTTTGCGATATTCTCGAGCGTCTCAATGTTGTGTTTTCTCCAAACGGCCAAATGCTCAACTCGAGCATCGAGGGCAAGATCCAGATGAAGTCGTATCTTCAAGGCAACCCAGAGCTCCGCCTCGCGCTCAATGAGGTGCGATCCACTTGGTGAATACGCCAGGGACAAATTCCGTTTGTAGGACCTGCTCATCGGCGCCCACAATACCCGCGGCGGCAACACGTACGGCCACGTCGTGCTGGACGATTGCAACTTCCACGAGTGCGTCCAGCTGGACGAATTCGAGCGCGATCGCGTACTGACGTTCACGCCTCCGGACGGCGAGTTCACGGTTGGTGTCTTTCCACGTGGTTGCCGTCGCCAACAGCGTCCTTGTAGGTCATGAATTATCGCCTGACGGGTGAATTCCGTGCACCATTCAAGATCTTTCCGTACGTGGAGGAATCGAGCCCGACCAAGGTCGAAGTCGTCCTCAAGATCCGCGCCGATATGCCCGATACCAACTACGGCGCGAACGTGATCATCCGGTTCCCCGTTCCCGCGTCGACGCAAAGCGTGACCACCGACTTGGGCAACAACGGGGCCGGGCAGCTGGCCGAGTACCGCGAAAACGAAAACCAGGTACTATCCTGTGCAGATCGATATCGCGCTTGGCACTTGGTGTGTCGCTGATTTTGACGGCATCGTGTGTAGGTTCGATGGGCGATTAAGCGATTCAACGGCGGGGCCGAGTTCACGCTGCGTGCCAAGATCACGCTCAAGGAGCCGAACCCGCACGTCCGCCGCGAAATCGGCCCGATCTCGATGAACTTTGAGATCCCCATGTACAACGTGTCGACGTTGCAAGTGCGATACCTGCGCATCCCAGAACACGCGCGCCATCCCAACTACGTGTACAAGCGCTGGCTCCGCTACGTCACGCAGTCCAACTCGTACGTATGTCGTGTTTAGTTCTTTACCACGGGTAAGAGAGCACCATTGTGGGTTGGAGAGGCTTTGTCGTCGACGCCCGGGTCGACAAGTGCGGGCGACGACTCGTGGGGATGGCTGGTGGGGGACGCTGTCTTGGTGGGGTTGGGACATGTGGACGATGCGGCTTGCGGGCCTATCGATGGACACGCCGCCTGGACTTGCTCGTACAGCGGACGCAATCTTCGTTGAAACCACGCCGCGTTGTACCAAACGGCAGCAAGATCCATCGATTCACTCGTGAGACTTGACAGCAACTTGGTCGCGGTCTGCGTGACGCGGTCGAGATCAGTTGTCCAGTGGGCGAGGAGTCTAGCCGCGGCGACATGCATGGGCTCGAGGGGAAAAAGACCAGCGGACACGGTCTCGTCCGATACGACATCGTCGGCTGCAACAACTCGAGCGCCTCGGAGAGCAGCCGGCAGCCAAATGGAATCCAACACGAGAGGAATCAACATGGATTTGTGCTTGGAGTGGAGGATGGCGTGCGTCAGAGTATGCAGAAACACGGGGTCTTTGACAAATGCGTCGTCGACGTGGTCTCCCATCGACGTCACGATCGCCTTGACAAACGCAAGGGGCCAGTGGTCGTGGATTGCAACCACGATGATTTGCCGCACGACGCTCTTCAGGTGGGACCCACCGTTCGCCCACAACACCTTCCACCCGCCGTCGTCGATCGACGACGCGTTGGTCGAGAGCAAGGTCGGGTGCTGATGGAGGAGGCGGTAGCGGCAGTACAGCGGAAGCGCCACGCGAAGGCTGAGGACGGGAGGAGATCGCAGAACATACTCTTGCTTCCGCACCATGCGCCGCAACGACCCGACGTTTCCCAGCTGCAGCAACTGGACCACACCGCGCACCATGGGGTCGTCCGTGGGAAAGCTCCCGCTTGGAGTGCGATGGAGAGTTTGCCACAGCACGTCAAATAAGAGCGCTTTCACGATCGGGTCGGACAGGACCAAGACGATGTCGGCGAGCAATGGGTCGCATTCGCCTTCAAACACCATGCCTTCGGAATGAATCGAGGTCAGATGCTTCGGTGAGAATGTTGGAGGGTCCCGCACCTGACTTTTCCGTGTCGTTCGCGTCCGTGGCAGGCATGGCGCCACTGCTTCCCAGCAAACACGTTGGCGCTGACTCTACCGATGCAACAACGCTTCAATTCCCCTGGACTAGCGTTCATGTCACACAAATGGAACGACATGCCCCCGACGCCACGGCGCGGTGGCTGTGACGCCATTCAAAACGCAAAATCGATCCCATGCAGTTGCCCGTCGTAACGATGCGTACCGGCCTGGGCAGCGGCAGCCGCTGCCTTGTCGATCCAGCCGGCGCTGAGCTTGTCGAGGCGTTTGGCTTCTTTGTGGTAGATCGTCGTGTCTGGGTTGTATGTGGTGCAGTTGGTAAAGATGAGCCGCATGTCGGCGGCAAACGCGGCAAGGGTGCGGTACTTGAGCTGGTGGACGTTGTGGCGGAGAGTTGAGATATCCATGGGGTATTTGATTACGTCGTGATAGCCCTCGACGTCGGTAGGGACGGGATCGGCAAAGATACGTCGGCTATCGGCCTTGGCGAGTTGGTCCACGAGTTTCAAGAGCGTTTCCTTGGGGATCATCGGGGGTGGATCGTTTGCGGCCAAGTCCTTTCGCGGCAAGTCGCGCAGCCGCAGCCGGCGCACCGTCATGAGCAATTCCGTGACGTTGTTTCGATCCATCGCGTCCCGCCGTTTGACGGCATGGTCCAAGATCCAAATGAACTTGTGCAGAGGATCGGTGCGTACGAGCGGCGTCGCGAGGTCCCGCTGAACGTTCGCGATGTCATTCCGCAGTGACCCGATCAAGGACGCGAGATAGACGTAGTCCTTCGAGTTGGCTGACGATGAAGGAGCGTCGTGGCCAGGAATGGAGCCGGCAGCGGCAATCGTTCGTAGGATGTCCACGCATTGCAAGTACAACTCGGAGGAGTCGCCGATCATCGAGACAAACGTGGCGAGCACTGGGTCTTGCTTTCGCCGGTCTTCTGGAGACGGTAGGTGGTGGTGGTGGTGTCCATGGCTAGATGATGACACATACAGCGAGTACGGGGACGGATCATCCGCTGACGTGAGCATGAGCGCGTCCAGTTTGTGCTTGATATAGGCTCCGACAATCTTGTCGACTTCGAGGCGGAGTTCGTGTGGCGCAATGGCCCAGATACGACGCTTCACGTGCACGGGCAAATGCTCCAAGAGCGACCGGTTGTCGTGGTCGCACAGCTCATGAAGAAACGAAGCCGGTGTCGATGTTTGCGTCGACAGGACTGCGATCGGAATCGCGCGCAGCTCGCGCATTTCCAGGTACGGAAACGTGAGCTCGAGTAGTTTCTGCAGCTGGGTTTCAGTCATTTGTTTGCTGTGGATGCGTTTGAGCAAGGTGGCCACCATTGTGTCGAGCAGCTTGGAATGGGTTTCGCTCCGTCGACACCCGAGGAGATCCAACAATTGCAAGGACGCACTCGTCGTATTTTCTTTCAGGCCATACTGCTTCTGGAATGATACAATGACTTCTTCCGGTTGGGTTGCTGTGCGAAGGATGTCCTGCAGCATCGCACCGCCGTTGCTGCCAAGCATCGTCAGGTCCTCCGCCGCCATTGCCGTCGCGGCGCACAGCGGTCCCCGAAACCTTTCAAACTCAATACGATCCCACTTCCCTAGTATCCTGCCAAATATAGTACTCTCCTCAAACCGGACATTTATCCGGAATTTCCTGCCCTCCACCCGATGCTCATGGTTTGTTGAGACAGCCAAGTTCATTTTGAGATTTGTCTGGTTAGACGGCTTGAGGTCCGCTGCGTACGGGCCCCGTGCGTGCGCAGCGGTGTACCACCCGACGGGGATAAAGGCCAAGATAGAGGCAACTTCTAGGGATCACTTCGGATGTCATCGGAAGAAGCGGTTTTCACGAAGTTCGACATTTCGAATCGTACGTTTCAGCATTTTTGCGTGCAGGTGGACCGCGCAGTGTGGTGGAACCGTGCACGCGTCTTTTCTTTCTCGCCTCCGGAGATTTGTATGTCGCCAACTGCGATTAAACTTTGAAACGCGAACGACCTCGATCTCCGGAGACTCATACACAATATGCGAGTTCACAGAGTGGACAAAGGTCGCACAAAAGCCTCCTTCGTCAGTGAAAGAGATGTTGCTCGGTCGAGTTGAAAGCAGGTGCCTCGCCAAACATATTATGGTGCAGCAGCCCTGGCTTTGGCTGCCTGACACTACGTAGCCAGAAATGCGTCTGCGCTACCGCTCACTTCCCCATACGCTGGGCGCGTCATTAACTTGTCAAGTCAGCGTATACCGACGAATCCTCCCAGCTGAGGCATGACCCTCCTCTCTGCGGCGGCGATTGTCCAAGGCGATATTTTTCATACTGATGAAGTATCCGGATAGAGAGTTCAAAATAGTTGTGTACAAATCCTGACATATGGGTTGTGCTCCACGTAAGGATTGAATTAGTCAGTGGTAGCTCATCCGTATGCGTAACCGGATGTGATACCAATTCCGATAAGAAGACGATTCGACCTGAGTTTCATGAAACGACAGAAAAATTCATCCAGTCACGATTTTGTGGGCAGAGTGTTTTGCTATTTTTTGATTGGACAAAATGAAGCCATCATCGACAACTACAAGAGATAATTCTGCTCAATGACCGAGAGTTGATTGGACTTGGGTGCACCACGACTTGCTTGCTCAAACGAACGAACGATCCGTAATGTTGGCCTCACTTTCCCACATTCACATTGAATCATCGCGATGCCACCCCTGGTGCTACATGAAGCCACTTTGAGCTTTTGAGTGACCCCAAAACGACCACAGCATTTTCGCGTCCGTCGAACCATCATTCTACGAGAGGTGGTTGCCCTCTGTGTCGGGTACTTTCCATGGTGGATATCAAGCAATTGTCTTGCAACGTCTGGGGATTCCGGCATGGAATCCCGACGCCTCAACGGCATGTCCCACCTGCATGGCGTCATGCGATTTTTTACAACGTTTCGGTAAGGCTGGATGAAATGACATACGAAATGTGAGTTATATTTTAGCATGACGACATTTGTGTCCCATGTCGTCGTGAATTGAAAATTCCCACGAACAATCGAAGTTGTCATTTAAAAATAGCGTATCATATCCTTTTCTTCGTCGTGGCCAAGGGGGACTCCCTTTGGCTCCATCGAATGTTTTTTTGCTTTAGTTTTATATTTGCGCACACGTACTGTGATACGCCGATTTTATTTTTCCAAAAATGGCTACTGGGTGCATTTTTTCGTCGCTCGTGGGGTGACTCAGCAGGCAGCCCCTTCGACCCGACGCACATACACGCACACGTCCACAGCTACACTTTGGATGCGCTGGTCGGTGGTAGTGGTGGCATGGGTCGCCGTGTTCGACCTCCCGACAACGTCCGCGACCGTGTGGCAAGGCAACATCGTCGGAAACGGCACGTGCCACATCAATCGGCTGTGCAATGTGTCGGCGCCGACGTTGACGACCAAATGCGCGGGAGTCGAGTTTGACCAAGCGAATTGGGTCAAACCCGACGACGTCACGTGCGTGTGGTTTCCGAACGGCACGGTGTGGCGCGGCATGAATCGGACGCGGTATTCGCCATTTGTCGGGTCTGACACGCGCAACGTCAAGAACGAAATCCGCGGCGGCATCCATGTCTCGATCGTGGAATCGTGGCCCAACTCGGCGCATCTCCTGTACGTGCCGCTCCTATCCTGTCGACTCCAGCTAACATCGCTTTGGACGGGTGCAGCATCTTGAACAACCTTGGCATCGACACCATTCCAGACGACTCGTCCGTCGACGCGAATGGAGTGGAGCTCCTCGCGCTCCAAATGTTCGCATACTTGCTCGTGCCGATCGAATTGTGGCTGACTGGGCCCCATGTAGCCAACTCGACGGGAACAACCTGACCAAGTTTGACTCAAAGCTCAGCGCATGGACAAAGGAGCTGTACGTGTCGCCCACTACTGCACGACGGATGAGGTCTCAAGCGTCGGTAGGGTCGTCCCGAACAACCGCATTCAACTGGTCAACTTGACGCGAACGAATCTTGGCCTGGTGTACCTTCAAAACAACTCCATCTCGGATACAGTCATGGAGCGAGCCGACCTGCCACGTTCCCTCACGGAACTGTACGAACTCGAATCAACTTGCACACGTGACATGACGTGGATCGATGGGTTGGCGTAGATCGTTGGCCGGCAACAACTTGACCATGCGATCGTTGTCGTGGCTGCCCCCTGGGCTCAAAACGCTGTACGAATCTTCCCGCTTGCCTCGTCCCGTGCTCACGATTCCGCCCCAGGCTCCTCGACAACAACACGATTACGACCCTGCCGCCACTTGCGTCGTGGCCAGCGTCGTTGACGAACCTGTCGTTGCAACACAACGCGCTGACGGAACTCACGGCCAACTTTCCCGCGAATTTATCGTGGCTGTACGTGATGTAGCGCCCGTCCACCGCGTTCGTCCTCATGTTTGTTGAACAGGTGCCTCGGCGGCAATCCGATCCAGACAGTGTACGCGAACGCGTCGCAGTTTGACCTGCTCTCGCGGCTCAGCAACACCGCCCCCACGTCCCTCGTCTCGACTGTTCCGCTCCACAGCGACGACTTGTGCCACAACATTTTCTCCACCGTCCCCTCCAACGCGTCCTGCCACGGGCACGTCCGGACAGAGCTCTTGTTTGGCACGTTTCCTATCTGCATCTTACCAGACAGCAGGGCGGCGCCAGAGACAACATTGCCGCCGCCGTCCGTGGTCGCGATAGTCGCCCACACCACGTCGACGCTCACGGCGTGGTCGATCGCGTTGGTTGCGCTTGGGACTGTCGGCGCGATCGCTGTAGTCATTTGCGTCGTTGTGTGCTGCCGGCGACGTCGCCAGAGGCTGTACGTCCCTCCGTCGCCGAAAATTCCGTGGTACGATGAACAGCACGACGTCCGCCTGTCGCCCGTCACGTGTCGGCTCCACTTGGACGTTCGATTTGAAGACCAGTTTCTGCCGTTCCGCATCCCGGCCACGGCGATCGAGCGGCGCCGCGTCGTTGCGCGCGGTGGGTTTGGCATTGTGTACGAAGCGCTGTGGTCGCAATCGACGGACCCGCTCGTGCAAGTCCCTGTCGCCCTCAAGCGGCTGCTTCCGACCCACGTCGACGATGCAGCGATTGTTGACGACTTTATGCACGAGATCCGAGTGTACTCGACGCTCGACCACCCCAACATCGTCCACTTTTATGGCATCGCATGGACCAACATCTCCAACTTGGCCATCGTGATGGAGTTCATGCCGCGGGGCGACGTCTGGTCGTTGCTGTTGAACGCGCCGCCGACGCCATGGCACATGCCCCTCGGCCCTTCGCCCCACACGTCCAAGTACTCGATCGCGATCGATGTCCTCCACGCCCTCGTGTACCTCCACTCGCGTCAAGTCATCCATCGTGACATCAAGGCCAGGAACGTTCTGCTTAGTGAAACCATGGAGAGCAAACTGACCGACTTTGGCACGAGTCGCGGGCGCCTCGACCTCACCATGACAGCCGAGATCGGGACCGCGGCATGGATAGCGCCTGAAGTCCTCAAAGGCGTCCGGTACACGGAGCAGGCCGACATTTACTCGTTCGGCGTGCTGCTGTCCGAGCTGGACACGGTCATGATGCCGTACGCAGACCTGTGCAACCAAGACAAGAACGCAAGTGTGAGCATGACTCGCACCCGCATTGCGGTCCTCGTTATCAACGGAGACATTGCGCCGTCGTTTCAAGTGGCGAGTCCGATTCGCCTTGTCGCGTCGCAGTGCCTTCGGTACAATCCCGACGAACGGCCAACAGCCCAACAGGTCCTCGACATGCTTTGCAACATGCAAACCAACTCGACGCGCCTGTGGCAGCCATCCAACGCGCCGGAACGTACCAAGTAGAGGGCGGAAGAGGGGTTTGCCGTCTTGCATGACGCTTCCATGTCGTTATTTAATCTCAAAGCCATCTCGCTCGCCTGTTTCTGGCTGCGTGCCATGTTTGCCCAACGAGTCGCTTGTGGGTCTACTACACCTAGGTGCAAGGCGAACCCGTCCTCACAAAGAGCCACAAACTTGGCCAGCATGCGACTGTGCTGGCAGAGGGGCCTGCGCCTTGAAGTGGTCGGTCGGGAAAATCGGGTCCAACCGCCAAGCCTCCCCTGGCCTGCGTGTGCATGATGTCGTTTGAGTGAAGCGCGGCACGAAGGCGCAGGTTGAAGTGATCGAACTTGTCCAAGGCTGCGTTCGAGAGCGTCGTGCGCGCAACGAGTCGGTCGGTTTGCACCACTGCCATGCAAACTTGGCGCGATCGTCCCACCTATCTCGACGCAACACACACGCCACGGATCCTGTCCATGCATTACGCAAGTGCATTCTATTTACTTGCCAACGTGCCTTGTCACGTTAGTCGACCTTGATCGAGGCGTAAATTTTCTTGGTGAACCACAGCGACGCCATGACACCCACGGTGCCGCAGAGGAGCGAGAGCGCGCCCGACACGATCGACATGTACCCAAAGTACAACATGGACCCGATGAAATTTTCGACGTCGAGGCGGGTCCAGTAGTAATAGGTCGAGTACAGCATGACGTAGCCGCCGCACGCGCCCGACACGATGAAAGATCGCCACCACCAGTTGTAGTCTTCGCCGCACAGTTGAAAGTACGTGAGGACGATCGTGATTTCCATGCACGTCCCGAGGAGAATCACAAAAGAGAGGAGCAGGAACCCGTACACGTAGTAGTAGTGGTCGGTCCAGATCGACGTCAGGACGAAGAAGAGCTCGACAAAAATCGCGCCAAACGGGAGGATCCCGCCGACAGCCGCCGTCATCGTGTTCGTCATGTACCACGGCTGCAGTGGAATCGGGCGAGGGATGTTGCTCGTCGCGACGGGAAACTCCATGGCGGGCTGGCGAAAGCCGTAGAACGCGCCGAGAAAAACCAGTGGCACCGACACACCAAACCACATCACGATCAACAGCACCATCGACCCAAACGGCACGGCCGCGTCCGACCCGGCGCCCCACACAAACAAGTTGAGCAAAAAGAACGTGGCAAACATGAGTCCCGGGAATAACGTCGACGTCATGATCGTGTTGAGCTGCCATCGCTTGCCCTTGAACAGCTTGTACATGCGCGACGACGCAAACCCGGCAACCATGCCCATCAAGACAAAACACACGAGAAGGGCAATCATGAGCTTCCCGCGGTTCGACGGCGCCAGGAACCCCACGGCCGCAAAGAACAGCGTCACCATGGACATACCGAGCAACTAGACAAGTTAGTAGTACCCATGCCGCAATTCGTTGCGTGAATACCTGGAACCCGGTCCCAATCATGACGCAAAACAACATGGGTTGCGTCGACGGCGGCCGGAATACGTCTGCGTGCACGAGCTTCCATCCTACCAGTACAACAACATGCTCGTCAGCGTTGTCGAGTGACATGTGAAAGAAATATATGTACCAGATTCTTCGCGCTCCTCCATGCGCTCTTCCTCAGTCGGGACGCGGTTGTACCTCGAAATGTCGCGGTGGAGCGATCGCATGAGAATCATCCCGACCATCCCGCTCAGAAACAGCACAATCAAGAGCGCGTTGATGATGGAGAACCAGTGGACTTCGTCGCTGCCACTGCCGACCTCAAAGTACACGTCCCACCGCGTGCGCCACGTACGTTCGTTGTCCTCGACCCATTCGACGCTATACGTCCACGTCACTTCGACGTCCTTGTCTGGGGTTTCCAGCAAGTACAATCCCTTGGGCTCGTTCACGGACGGCTCGCACACACTCATCCGTGCAGGCGATTCGCCCGCGACCAAGTGCTTCGAGTTGTAATTGTAACTCTGAGGCTCCACGGCAAAGTCCACGATGCGTCCTTCGTCCGGGTTCGGCGTCGTAAAGTCGTCCATGTTGTTGTACGAGATGCGAATCGTGACGTGGTTGTGTAGACGCGGCGTCTTGTCCACCAACTTGTCGAATTCACCAAGGGGGAATCCGAGTTCGAGGGATTCGTCGGTTCTGACGCTCGCCGGCATGTTGTCCACGATCCAGTTGACCCGATACTTTTCCTGCACCATCGTCGCAAACTTGTGGATTTGTTTGGCGTTGTACGTCGTCGTACACAGGACAGCGCACTTCTTCGGTTCGAGGAACTTGAGCACGTACGGCGAGTTCTCGATGCGATTCGCCGTCAAGTACTCGCCGAGGTTCTCGCTCTTGTACTCGATCTCCTTGGGCGTGCAGAATGGGAGGTTGTAGTACTCTATCGGTAGCAACGTTTCGCGTGACGTCAGCGAGTTCACGAACAACGGGACGTCGTCGCCGCGCTTGTACGTCACCATCTGAACTCCCGGCAAGTAGAACGAAGATACTGCATGCATGAGAACCAGCAGCGCCGCGCCGCTTCTCGCAGTCACAGACCCCACCATGATTGTTTCGATGCCTCACTTCGCCGACCCGACGAAACACTGAATGGGTGCACAAGAATATAGAGAAATAGAACTTGATTTTTGTATGACACATCTTCTGCTCGAAAAAAATTCCGTCGGCCAATAAAACCTCGCCAACTCACGTCACATATTCACTTGGAGAGGTTTCCATCACACCACCAGATATCCCCGCATCCAGCTCGTGCTCAAGACCCAAAAGTTTATCCTTTGCAAGTCTAACAACGCTTAGCGCAGTAGGTGCGAGCGCCGTAGATGGCCCTTTATCTGTCGCTGAGGACGGTTGTGCTTCGGAAGTTGCATTCAACTGTCGAAATCAATATTCTATCCATCTATCTATTTATACAAAATATAAAATTCCATAGGTGAGCATGTGGCCACCATGTGATGACGATGGCGCTCCGTTGGACGAGTACCCGTCTGGCCGACCTGACGGCTGTCCAGGCTTACAAGATCCTGCAGCTCCGATGTGAGGTGTTCATCGTGGAACAGAACAGCGTCGTGCTGGAGGTCGATGGACGCGACCTCCTCGATTCCTGTGTCCATGTCATGGGTTGGGACGACGACGACAACCTGATGGCATATGCGCGGGTCCTGGGGCCGGGCACCATCGAAGAAAGCCAAAAAGTTCCAGTAATTGGCCGCGTCGTGACGCATTCAAAAGCCCGAGGTAACGGCGTGGGCAAGGCACTTATGCTGGAAGCCATGCGTGCTAGCGAAACCAACTGGCCCGGCCTTGGGTGCCAACTCGGAGCTCAAGCGTACTTGGAGTCGTTCTACGCAAAGCTAGGGTTTAAACGGATGGCGGACGTAGAGCCGTACGAGCACCACGGCATCCCCCATGTCGAAATGCGACGACTACCAACCAAGTAACGAAAGCGACGCCATCGACCTCAGTTGCTTCATTTGTCTTGCCTCAAAATGCACGCGACTTGGGCCAAAAGGCCATACGAACCAGGCGCTGCAAAGTCCTTTGCAAGCCTCGTGTCGAAAAGTTTTGTTCGCATTGTAGGAGCGCGGTAGACGGCAAGATTGCGGATGGATGTCACTGCAGCTTCGTCCATTTTGAACAGTTCCCTCCAACCGCTGCATGCAGAGCTACGCGAGCAAGCGTCACGATGATGCATCTGTGGCGCGTTCATCGACGTGGATGTGGAGCCCATCGAAGGCCAGCTCGACGTCGATGCCACACGCCGCGCGTCGCTGCACCAACTGCGCCTGGTGCATGGAATAATCAATGGAATGCCCCATGCCCACGAGGTACGCCTTGCGTGGTTGGATCCTTTCAAGACACTGGAGAGCTTCGGGAAGGCTCATATGCGTCGGATGCGACTGTGACACGTGCAACGCGTCCAGGAACATCACGTCGATGGGTGGGCCGTCCAGCAAGTGGGCTTGAGTTTCGACGGTGAGGCGGCTCACGTCCGAAATGTACACGATACGCCGACCAATCTCGTGGCCAAACTCGAACCCATGTAGTCCGCGCCGTGCCACACTGGCAGCGCTTGGAAGGTCAACGAGCTGCCTTGGATCGCAAACGAAGTCACCCCCGTGTCGTTGAAATGGACCTGCTGCAACTTGCTTGTCCAAAGCACAGTCGACGGCAACTTCGTCGATGTATGGTCTGGGAACAAGTAGCTAAACTGGGTTGTGATATCGCGGCCTGTTTGACGGCTGCAATGCACGGGCAGAACCGCCAGGCCAGACGATGGCGCGCGGCGCTGGATGTCGCGCGGGTCGTCCAAGCCAAAGCAGGCATCCGCGTGGCTGTGAGTGAGCACAACGGCGTCGACGAGAGGCGGGATTTCAGACGGAACGCAGCAGCGAAGAAAACTCTCGCGGAACGTCTTTCCGCAGTCGATGAGGATGTGGAACCCTTGATGCTTGACGAGGAGACTCGGATTGCCGCGCCGATTGCGTGAGTTTGGATTTGCATGGGCCTCAGGACACACGGGGCAGTTGGGGTTCGTGACGAGGCACCGGATCGACGGCACCGACGTCGACGGCCCACTGCCCAGGACGTACAGATCAATCGACGACTTGGACGACATGGAGGTGCTGTGGCTGCTTCGAGCGCGCATTACAGCGGTGGTGGTCACCTGGAACCAAGCGTTCGAGTCCTGCAGATTCGTCGGCCGACGAACCGCGTCGTGCCAGAGCACGGCACTGCGGTGGAGGCGCTGACGAGGTCGAACAACCAACATCACCCAACGACGGAAATGGATCAAAATGACACGACCAATCGCTGTAGCATCTCATGCGTCACGACCACCCCACCTAGCAATCTTGCGACGCCATCCACTCGACGTCCTTGTCGCACATTATTGCTTCGCCGCTCAGAGTTGTGTCTGGTCGTCTGGTCGACTGGAGCTCATTTGTTCTTTTGTCCGTTTGGGTCAAGGAATTGTTGTCGCTTCGGCCTTGCGTGGTTCTTGCTTCAAACGTCGCGACGAATCGCACCGAGCGCATTGATTCCCCACGATGTCGTCCACGGCAGTTGAAGCCTCTTGGCGGTCTAGCCCTGTACACGGTAGTTCACGAAGGTAAGTGGCAGATCCAATGGCATGCTCCATCCTCTTGTCCTTGCTCGCTGCTCTCTGCTTTGCACCATCCGGCTCGTTAGCATACAGTTGCCACGGGCGGGTCGAGTTGGCTTGCATGGCGAAGCATGTCGAGGAACTGTTGGGCTGCTGGCCGTTCCTCGGGAATGCCGCCATGGCACTGCATGCGTGTCTCCTTAGTATGAATAGAGAAGCGCATCGAAACAATTCTTATGTGTATTCGATACTGCATGGGCCAACTTTACCAATGCCGCAAGTTGATAGTCGTGGAAGCATGGAATATCATCGAGATGACAATACGGCCAAGTGGAACAAACAGGAGCAAACTGTCCATCTAATTCATTTGATAGCAGGTTGACATCTCGGCCATCGACAGCCACTTCAAATCATCATGAGCACGTCCAGTAAGGTGTACTCCACCATCCATCGGCAAACATAGCCATGCGTTGCCTGTATGGGCTACTTTTCCATAGCATGAAGTCGAGGTCGCTTGGTACCGTCGTGTAGCCGCCATCCCGGCGACACCACGCGTTCTCCGTCTTGCTTCCCGCGACAATCGCCGCGACGTCTCCCGTGCTGCTGTCAACGACAGCGATGCCAT